GAGAGAGACTTCCCCAATGGTTTTGTAACTAATTGTGGAATATATCTTATTGATTTAGACAAATATCGAGATTAGACTACATGGATAGGATTGGAATGAAGATTCTCAATGACAGTATGACTTGTGAAAATAAAGAAAGAAAAATACAATTGCATGTGTCCTGTCAATCTTTGTACTACAGATTTTAGTTACTGAGTACTATTGCTCTGCTATTGTTCCATGTGTGAAATTTCCTTGATTTTCAGAACATTTTAAATTTGTTGACTGGTGCTAAAGTATGTAGACCAGTGTAGTTTCATAAAGTTGTTGTGAAAATTGGTTCAAATGAAATAATGTGGGGATTGAGATAGACCAGAAGACACTTTGAATTTAGTCCTGTAATAAATTACTCCCGACCCGGAGAGTTTTTTTTTTTTTTCTTTCCATTTCCCTTTTCAATAAATCTTTCTAGAGGCTGGAGCGATAGTACAGTGGGTAGAGCATTTGCCTTGCATGCGGCTGACCTGGGTTTGATTCCCAGCACCACCAGGAATAATTCTTGAGTGCAGAGCCAGGAGTAACCCCTGTGCATCGCTGGATGTGACCACCCCCCCCCAAAAAAACCCCAAAAAACAAACAAAAAACCCACCAAAAAACTCAAAAAAACCTTTCTATTTCAAACAAAACAACAACAAAAACGCACTTGTCTCACAGTCAACCCTAGTTCAATTCCCAGCACAACATGGTGGTCCCCAAGAATAAGTAGAAGTGACACTCAGGAGTAGCCCTGAGTAGTACTTCCAAGAGTGACCCGTCCTCCAAATCAAATTATGAATGTAAAGTATATATATATATATATATCAGCCTTTAGATTATAGGAAACATCCAATACATATGATAGTTACTATTTTTTTAAGATGAAATGCTAAGCCCTCAGAGCTCTTGTTTATGGGCCATTTAGCTTGGCATGGAGTTTTGCTTTGTGAGGTAGTTTGATGTTTGCATGAATTTTCCTGCAGTGATTGGGATATTTTAAGAGATGAGGAGAGAAGCTTTGATATTATAGAAGAAAGAGGCTTTGAAGTCAGGTAGATCAGAGTCAACATTCCACAGGATCACTTTTGTTTTGTTTCTTAAGTGGGAAAAATAGCTATCTCGAAGATTTCTTTGAAGATTAATTGAAATTAGAATTCAAGCTGCTCTGTACATACATGTACATACAATAAGCGGTGTACATACAATAAGCAATAGCAGCTGTTTTGTTCAGGTAGGTTCAGAACTGAGGTACAGTCTAAAAAGCACTGGAAGAGAATATGGGTTGCCAGAGATCAAACCTGGGTTGACCACATGCAAGGCAAATGCCCTACCTGCTGTACTATTGCACCAGACCCTGTTTTGTGATTTTATAAGTTCTTTATCCAGGGCCTGGAGAGATAGTTCAGTGGGTAGGGCACTTGCCTTGCATCCTGATGACCTGGGTCTAGACTCCAGCACCGTATATGGCCCCTTGAGTCCTGCCAGGAGTGATCCTTGAGTGCAGAGTCAGGAGTAAACCTTGAATAGTGCTAGCTGAATAGTACTTGGACCAAGTCCCCCACCCGCCTCCACCAAAAATGTAGTTTACCCTTTTATTATAGAATATATGGAAGCTTCAGGTTTAATATCATCATGTTACAAATTAAGACTCTTCATCAGCATACTCTAAGGACAGAGCTAATCTATTTCTGTTTGGATTCCTACCAATTAAACTCACAGAAACCTTGAGGGAGGACTGATCAACCATGAGCCAAGGGCTGAAAATACAAAGAGCATCTGATAAGATTCCAGCCCAGGATGGAAGAGCAGAGGGGTCGGTGACTGATAATTCTTAGCAGGGAGTGCAGAGTGCTGAGTGCTGTAATGAAGCTATGAATAGAATGTTACGGAGAGTACTGAGGACAGAAATTTTTGGTATTTTTAGGTAGGTTAGGGGAAACATCTCCAAAGAAGTGATACTTGATCCAGTTTTTGAACTGAGCCCCACCAGGAGTGATCTCTTCCAATAGAATCCGGAAGTAAGCCCCAAACAACAGCCAAGTGGCCCCTCTCAAAACAAGCAAGCAAGCAAGCAAACAAACAAACAAAGGAACCAAACAAAAACAAAAGAGCCCTCTGGCTAAATTTGAACTGCTCTGTTTGCATATCTTGGTCTCTCCTCTCAGTAGGTAAGCAAATCCATTCTCACACTCCCCTCTGGTTTCAGCTTCTCTCCTCTGTAGAAACCTCAGAGTACTAAAGTGCAAGTCAAGCAGGAAATTCTGCACGGAGCAAGTGTGCACTGCGGCGCAAGGAGAGGTACTTGCTTTCAAAGAGGAAGAGAAGTAGCTTATTGTTTTTACTTTGATCGGCTGCTCTGTTTCACTTCTACTTAACTCACTGGACTCTTTTGACAGGGAGTTGTGATCATGAATACAATATAATATAGAATAAATGACAGGAATATAAAACTTCTACCTATTTTATGAATAGATAAATTTGCTGCTACAGTAGCTGGCTGTTCTTTTGTGGGCTGGTGGAGGTCAGGTCACTTTTTTCTGTTCAAGGTACCTACATACACACAGCGGCCTGCAGGGGGCCTCCGATCTCCCTCAGAACCACTGCGACAGCCTTGCCCTCTTTAGCTACACGATCTTTTATTTAAACAGAAACAGTAGCCACCAGTCTAGTTACATAACATCCCAATATCTTGGGGTGTTAAACTCATGCAGCATGTACTGCTGGGGAACGGTGCTCTGGAAACACAGATACTCACTAGCAGAATATTGCTGAAACCGCATAACAATCTGACTTTCTGGCCCCTTTTAGGAGTTGAATGGGACTTTAAAGACCACCCTCTTTCAGTTCTCTTTGTTTCGATCTATTTGCTTGGTTTTGGGGCCACACCTATTGGTGCTGGGGTCATTCTCAGCAGTGCTCAGGGGACCATGCTGTGCTGGGATCAAATTCGAACCTCTAGCATGCAAAGCTTGCACTCCAGCCTGTTGAACTGGCTCTCCAACCCTTATTGATTTGTTATTTACTTTAAAAAAATTTGGTTTTGGGCACAGCCTGTGGTGCTTAGGGTTACTTCTGGGGCAGCGCTCAGAGGTAGCTTCCGGCAGTGCTGGGGGAGAGGTACCAGGTGGTGCCACGATAGGCCATGCAAAGCATGCAAAACATTTGCACCATCCCTTTGACCTACCTCCCAGTTCCCTCAATCCCCTTTGTTTTAAAGTTTAGAATCCTAGGCAGAGAGACAAAGAAATTTGGCTATGAGGCAGATCTGGACTAGAAATCAAGTTCAGATATTCCAAAGTATCCAGCACAGGGCACTTTGAGATAGTGCAGTGAGAAAGGTGCTTTGCCTTTGCACAGTGCCAAATCTGGTTTGATCCCCAGCACCCTGTAAGGTCTCTGAGCCTATTCAGGAGTGATTACTGAGCAAAGAACCAGGAGTAACCCCTGAACATTTCTGGGTGTGGCTCCAAAACAAAACAAAAATCCTTCATTTAGAGTTAGCTTTAAGTGTTAAATTACTCTTTTCCATTGTTGGGCTTGAACCCAGAGCCTCAGGCATATGCTCTACAGCTGATCCCATCCCTACCCTTTACAACTTTTCTGTTATTGATTCTTAACTCAAAAGCTTTTTTTTTTTTCATTTTTAGCCTTTCCATGTCTGTCAATCGTGAAGGACTTGATGCTCCAGTTTATACTAAGCGCAGTTTTGAGACTTATGCATACAGAGGATACTAATGTCTCAGAGGCATTTTCATTGTTTTTCTTGACAATGGGACTGTCTTCACCTCAACCAGGTGAATTGTATATTAACCAAATTGTATATTTGGTGAATTGTATATTAACCAAATCCAATTTGTGGCAAAGATAGATGGGTGGCAGTTTGAACCTATGTGGGGATCCAGCTCAGCACCATTCACCACTAATGGTGAATCAGTGAATAGGAGGCATTGACAGCATCTCATATGTGATACGAATAAGTGAGACGCATGATCAATAAAACATGGAGCCCCCAACAGTTCTCTGAGGAACTGCAGAACTTTGGAGGCTGAGGAAGAATTCTATTCTCCCCTCTGCCATCACTCAAATGAACAGTAACCCGTGGGACAGTCTCATTCACTCACTTTGTGCCTCCCCGAATTTACTGGCTGCCTTGGGCTTTTTTTTTTTAAACCATCTTTTCCTTGAAAAACACTATCCCATGAACCCATTTAAGGAGGAGTGAAGGTGGGGGTAGGTGGGCTTGCCCCTCTGATCATTGTCACGCTATATTCTCCAGGCAAACTATCTTTAGACTCTTTCTTAAGGTCTTGGAAAATCAGCAGCAAGAGGGTCTGGGTGCCTTCCAATTTCCCGTAGGAGTCTCCCCTAGCCCCCCCTTTTAACTTCCAAAATTACTAACAGAACAGAGACGGGGAAACGCCTAGTTTCTGAGTCTGGTCTGGCTGGTACCGTCTTATTAAATTCAACTGCCTGGGGTCCTGGGGGGCCTCCTCAGGTAATTGAGGTTCTGGGTTAGGTAGGGATGCTTAAGACAGGGCCATAGCTATTGTCTTGGCCTCCAAGGTAAAGCACTTTAAAAGTAAAGCTTCTCTTCCTGCCCCAGCTTCTAGGAACCTCAGTCTAGAACGCCGAGGAGAGGACAAGCCCAAACCCAAATAAAGAATCGTGTCCCGGGCGCCGCGCGCCCACCCACCCACCCACCCTCGGCAGCCGTTCTTCCAGCCCCTCTGGGCTGTTGCCCAGTTTAGTAGGGCTCAGCTGGAGTAGCCGCTCCAAGGCAGACAACGACAGACACAGCGCCGAGTCCCCGCACCCAGCCGGGCCAGGGCAGAGGGGCGGGGGGGTGGGTGGGAGGCTGGGGAAGCGAGGGGCGGAGTTCCGTCCTCCGCTGATTGGCTCGAGGAGGATGGGCTGCGGCCGTGCCGGGCCAACCGGCGGCGTGTTGCTATGTGCTGAGCCAAGGGGATAGGCGCGGGGGCGCGTCCGTCACAGGGCAGCCCCCGGCCCGGACCGGAGGGATGCAGAGTGGCGGCGGCGGCGGCGGCAGTGGCGGAGACTGTGGCTTTAAGAGCGCTCGCCGAGCCGGGGAGCCAGCCGGGCGGTCCTTCGCTGCCGCGCACCCCGGCGGAGCCGAGCCGGCCGCCGGCCAGACGGGGCAGCCTGCAGCCGGGTAAGCACGCTGGGAGCGCGGCGCGGGCCGGGCGCGCGTGGGCGCGGGGCGCGCTGTCAGCTCGGGGCGCCCGGCACCCCGCACCGCTGCGGGGCCCCTGGGGTCTCTGCGCTCGGGCGCGGCGCCTTCGGCCCGGTGCGGCCCGCGGCTTGGGGGGCTCCGGCTTGGGGTCCCGGCTGGGACTGCGGGTGCAGGGGGGCGGGGAGCGGGCGGCCGGGCCCACGTGACCGGTTTGTTTACAAACACTGCGGGGCCCGGAGACGGCCGGCGGCGGGCCACTCGGAGCCGGGCGCTAGGAGTCGGGCAAGTTCTGGGTGCGCGGGGTGGCGGTTGGGGGTGTGTGGGAAGTCGGGTGCGGAGGTGGGGAGTGTCGGCTCCCTGCTGCTTCCTCGGGCGAGTTCCCGCGGATCGGGGCTCTAGAGGGGGCTTCGGACGTTTGCTTGGGCTCAAACGCTGGGTCTCAGCTGGCGACACTCGGGTTTGGGGGCGCCGCCCCTGGGGGGCCCCGTTCGCTCTCTAAACTCTCCGGAGTTTGAACCAGGGTAACCGCAGCCGAGTTCCTGCCTGGCTACTTCCCGACGCCTCCCCAGGGTCCCTGCCAAGAGGGTGGGCGCGAGTTTCCTCCGCCCCGGGGAAAGAAGGGACCGCTCCAAAAAGTACCTCCTAGGACCTGGCGCCTTGGAGTGGCAGCCCCAGACTCGCAACTGCTTCAAGTTCATCTTCCTTGGCCAATGGCGTTCGCCAGTGTCTTTTCCTTTTCCTGAATTGGGGGGTGCGTGCTTTTCCCTCTTCTGTGTTGGGGGAGCCACGTGCTCTTTTGGATCCAGTGCTGACTTCACAGGAGCTTAGAAAACCTGGCGAGTGATTGGCGTCCTTTTCCCTCAGATCTGCACGTTGCCTGTCTCCCGCCTACAGTACCTGGTCTGTGCTCGGTGCTAAACTGCTCCTTGACTTTGCAAGGTTTCTTGCTTTCTGGCCTCCTTTTAAGTTGGCTCTCCTGGAGACTTGAGGATGTTTTCCGTAAACCCTCACTTATGGTGAATCTAAGACATCTAGCTGCTCACTCATCCTTTCCCTTTGCCCTCCCTCTCTTGTTCTTCATCTGGACCAGCAAGATCTACAACAATGGGTTCTCTGTCCCAGAGCATTTGCAAGGAGGGAAACGGCTAACTACACCCTACTTGCTTTTGAAACTTTGGTGGTGCCAGGAAGCTAGGGGAGGCAGAGGTGAACTGTCAGGGTGGGGGTAGGGTGGGGGGAGGGTGTGTGTGTGTGGGGGAAGACGCTCAAGGCTGGCTGGAGTGGGTGTTGAGCTTATAGGTGCTTCATGCTTTCCACTGGGTCTGGCCACACAAGGTTTCGTGGTGGGGGCTTGGACAGGAGGGAATCGATGACCAGAAAACAAGTTCTGACCATTTCTTTTTCCCCCTTTGCACTTAATCCTGAGACTGATAGTTGCTCTATATGAGGAATACTTTGAATTTTATGAACTGTGTGATATGGATGACTACAAACTCTTTACCCAGGAACAGGACCAGCTTGAATAGAGTTGTTCAAACTTTCCTTTGGCCCTAGATCTTATCCCCAGTTCCTTCAAAAGGACCTTGCCAGGAATAAAGGAAGTGTCAACTAATTGGGCTTCTCCCACTCCTCAGTTTGGTTTGACCTCATCACTTAAGGATTTGATGAAAAAACATCTTTTTCTTTATCTTTCTTAATCTTTGTGCTGAAATTAAAACCAAGAACCTTGAAATTGGGGGTGGAAAATAGAAACTAGACATGCACAAGTACTGCTTTGCTTCTCTCTAAGTGGTTTGCAGATTTTGAATGGAATCCATAAATTGGAACACATTTTACATCACTGGACACAGCTGAGATATGTTCTTGGAAGCAGTTACCCTTTCTACCAGAATGTGTTCTGGTTATGATCTAAATTTGGTTTATTGACCAAATGGGTCATGGCACAGCCTAATCAAAATTGCTCTAGGGTCCAGAGATGTGGAAGAACACATGCTTTGCAAGGATTGGACCCTGGGTTCTATTCTAGGCATCATGAAAACATTGTTCGAGGACAGAGATTCTCAAACCTAAATGTGCATAAAGATGACTGGGAGTGGGGGCAGAGAGATGGATAGTACACAGTGTTTGAGGTGCATTCCTAGGTGCCACATGGCCCCCCAAGCATCATTTCAGAGTGTAAACTGGGTAATCCCTACCAACACAGGACCTGAGAGGACTGTATCCTTGGGCCCTTGCATCGACTCACAGAGAGTGATTGAGAGTTCCTGGGAGGGGCCTCTTCTGAGCACTATTTGGGAGGCCCCCTTAATGTGATCTCTTACCACGGAGAGAGATCTCATGCACAGGACCTGGATTCCATTCCTAGCACTGTCTTTTCTTCCTATTACTGCTACATTTACTCCTGGTGACCCACAACAGGTCTTCCACTCCCCCCTGAAAGATCCAAGATGAAAAATGGAGCCTGCCATTTCACTCTGGTGATATTTATCCTCAGTGGGGACACATTTTAATTTATTTTGGTTTGAGGGCACCTGATAGTTTTGGCTCTGTGCTTGGTGTTGCTCCCAGTGGTGCAGGAGATTGCCCCCAGTGGTACCCTGGGGACCATGTGGTGCCAGGGAACCAAACTTGGGCTTCTGCGTGCAAAACATGGTCAAGCTACCTCTCTGGAGGTAGGGTACATTTTAAATGAGTGGACCATGAGAGTATGATATAGATGGTTGATTTGGGAACAGGGGTTAGTGAATAATGAAAGGCAATAATGAACAATAAAATATATTAACATGGATTTGCAGTACAATGCCTTTGGGCCAGTGACCCATACTTTACTTAAACCCAGGATTACTCTTCTGCCAATCCTATTAGACTAGTTTTAAGCATAGTGTTTGCTTTCAGCTGCCTTGAAAACTGGCCTTAACAATCGACCCCTCAGGCTTCTCCCCTCACCACCCAGTCCAGCCCATTTGAGGGCTCTGTTCACTCTTCCCGAACACAGGTTATCTGTTAAACTGCCTGAGTCATGGGTGGTGCAGTTGTGTTTGCTGCTCTAGCCACAGGGTATATGAATTTTCATTGTGAATGATTTTAATAATTTTATGGCCACTAGATGAGCCTGGAGCATTAACTATTGGTCTGAAGCTAGGGGTTTTTAATATCTGGGTATTTATTTGGAGATTCCTGGTTGGTAAGTTGGGAGGGACTAGCTGGTGATTTTTTTTTTCTTTTTGGGTCATACCCAGCGGTGCACAGGGGTTACTCCTGGCTTTGCACTCAGGAATTACTCCTGGCAGTGCTCAGGGGACCTTATGGGATGCTGGGAATCGAACCTGGGTTGGTCGCATGCAAGACAAATACCCTATCCGCTATACTATGGCTCCAGCCCCTCGCTGTTGGTTTTATTTGTGATCAGTTAATTAGTGAGACTGATCCTTGCCAGTCCCAGCCCTGGTTCTTTCAGCTGTGGTGACATCCTTGCTCTTGTGTTCTGGTGGATCCTGTTAGTCATCTACTTTGTGTTTTGGGTGGGATGTGTGTGTGTATGTGTGTGGTGGTGGGGAACACTACATTCTAGGGACAAATTCCCAGGCCTCCTGCATGTGGCAAAGTGTATCCACTCTCCCTTTGAGCCATCTCCCCAGCTCCATCATCCAGTTTCTGATAATTTTTGTTTTGTTTTTTTTGGCCAGACCCAGCTGTGCTCAGGTTTACTCCTGACTCAGTGCTCACTCAGGGATCACTCCTGGTGGACTCGGGGGACCATAGTTCAGTGAGTAATGCACTTACCTTGCTCCCTCCACTCCCATCCAGCTAGGAGTGATTGTTGAGCCAAGAACTAGGGTAAGCCCTGAACACTGCTGAGGGTAGACCACAAGAATATATAATGTTCAATCTGATCAAGTAGCTCACATTTGGGATGCTTAATTTTTTTTTTCTTTTTGGGTCACACCCAGTGATGCTCAAGGGTTACTCCTGGCTCTGTACTCAGGGATTACTCCTGGCTGTGCTTGGGGGACCATATGGAATGCCAGGAATTAACCTGGGTTGGCCGTGTGCATGGCAAACGCCCTACCTGCTGTACAGTTGCTCTGACCTGGGATGCTTAGTTTTGAGGCTGTGGGGAAAAAAGCAAGAAGGATGAAGAAAAATAGGTGATCCTAGGAAATCAGAGGGAAGAGCTGTTCGGGTGGAAGTCAGATTATTGGAGGGTGGGGGAGGTCACTCCTACCCGAGGGAGGAGGGTTCTCTGAGTAGCTCCAGGATTCAACAGAAGGTCACTTGACTTATCTGTTTTGTTGCTATCTCCCCAAGACTTTCAGGTGACCTAGGGAGTGATGGGGAAGGAGGCCTTCACCTTTTTGCCCTTACCCACTTCTACCTGATATGAATTGGATGTTAAAGCTGTGAGCACCTACCAGGCACGGACACCAGTGTCCCCCCTTCCTTACAAGGCTGCTGTCAAATCGAACCCCAGTTGTTTCTCACGGCACAAAAACGGCTCCCCATCATCTGAGGTCTTGGGGACTTACGGACTCAGGATGGAGTGAGAAATTGCTTTTTGCAGGAAAAGGAAAGTCACTTCTGACCACAGCCCGGGTTTCCCAGGATGTCATTTTTCCTCGTAGGAAAAGAAAATCGGAACAGTCGGAGGGAAAGAACAAAAACCAATAGTTAAAGAAATAAGAGAATTGTGAGGGGAAAGAAAGAAAAAGTTCTGTGTTTAGGAGAGAAAATAGGCTTATCCCAGGGGAACAGGCCTAGCATGACTTTTGGGAAGTTATATGCGATTTCTCCCAATTGTTTTGGCCTCACTTCTCTGCATACACAAAAGTTAATCTGGGAATTGTCACAGGGAAAAAACCCTGTACTCTTGCTGATACTTTTCTTTCTTTCTTTTTTTTTTTTTTCTTTTTGGGTCACACCTAGCAATGCACAGGGGATACTCCTGGCTCTGCACTCAGGAATTACTCCTTGCGGTGCTC